TCAGCAGGAGCAATAGCAGCACTCTCAGCCCTGAGCGCTCAGCACCATGCTGCTTGTGAGCTTCTAAGTGTCGTTATTTGCAGCTCAGCAGTATGAAGATTTTGGGATGCTACTCACTGGGTCAGGAAACTTAATTACCCTGAAAAAGATGTATTTGAGACAAAGATAATATTTCTATGCATTTATGTCCTCTTCGGAGCCTCTGTTGTGCATAACACATCTGAGCGTTCTTTCTGAAACTGTTTGAAAACAGACCAGACTGAAAGCCTTTTATGCAACATATATTACCAAGAGGTAGTGTATAAGCCAACAATTAACTGAAGTAATTTAAAATTTTGCTGTCACATAGCCTGATCAGGAGCCACACTCAGTGAATTTTGTGTTACAGAAATACTTGAAGAAACTAAAATCCTGCTGGGGTTATGAGAAATCCTGCAAATCAGATTACAGGTTCAGTTACCCGGTGTGTGATTATGTTGAAACTGGCTGGTAAGTTCCATTTAAAATATATAAAGTGCAGTATGTCATAAAATGCACAGTGTTCACTTTTATATTAGTTACCATTATTGTGATGTTCAGATGGTGATGATTTCTTGAGGATATATATATGGGGTGTGTGTGTGTGCGTATGTATATCTTCCAACATGTTGTTAAAAATTAAACTTTTTAAGGAAGAAAATACTGTTTGCAGTGCATCATACCACAAAATTTTCTTTATTCTGATGTAGTCTTGAATTCAGGCTCCTAAAATAACTCTGGAGTTCCCCTCTTAGCTTTAAAAACAGAGGAGAAAATTTTAAAAAAGTTTTTTTTTTTTTTTTTTTTTTAATACCCTTTTAGGGGAGAATAGCTTTACATTGTCATTAAAGTCTTTACTTACATGCAGCTGATAACTTGCTTCCTGTTTTGCATCTTAGATGTCAAAGTAACTGTCTGGCTTTTTTTTTTTTTTTTGTTCCACTTCTAGTGGAGCAGAAATGTTATCTGTTAAAGTTGTTACTAGAACTGAGCAAAAGCCCTTGATTTTTCCTCTTTCCTTTATACATCAGGGCTAGTGACATTGAGACAGCCCAACAGATATTCTGGAAACAAGCTGACTTTGGTTACATTCGAGAGAGGCTGAATGAAATGAAAACCCATTGTAAGCCTGCAGCAATGGTAGGTGTTTTTGATGGATTATTCAACTTTCACTTGCTTCTAAACATAATTCTGGTTACTGATCGACTCCTACTTGCTCTTCTGTTAACAGGGAGATTCATCTCTGACCTGTTCTCAGTACCTTCAGCACTGCAGAGCAACAAACTTGTACATTGATTTAAGAACTGCAAAGAGAAACCATGACAGGTCTCTGATTTGCTTATGTTATGGTAAAACCAAGAGATGTCAGGGAGAAAAACTTACAAATTTGTTTAACAAATCTGTACATATAACTGGTGTGCTTTTTGCCATGGTATTTGCAGCTGATCAGAGGCTTGTCACTGAAGTCTTGTGGAGACCTACGGTCCTGATGATTGCTCGCTGCTGCTATCAGCACTGCAGTGTGTTTAGGTTCCTGACATGCTAAGTTCTTGGTTTCTTGCAGTGATGATGGGTGATTGAAATCCTTCCTTCTCCTGACTGGAGAGTAGAGAGGTAGACTTTTCTGTATCTTCAGAGATGTCCATCCTTGTTCAGGTGACATGCAAAGTAGAATAACATGCAAAGTAGATTGTTTGTTTGTAGTTTTTTGGTAGGAGTTACCGAAAAGACCTTCCCTCTAGTAGGCTTTAGCAGGGTGGTAAGTGTACCTTTATATAGGAACTGGGAATTGCATTTTCAGATACAGTAAGACTGAAGAAAACTCTAAATCTGGATCTCCTGTATACCAGATTAAAATGCTACACACTGGACTAATGGGTGAAAAAAAGGGTGTCACTGATAGTGGCACCACACCTTTTTCCTTCTGCCTTATCTTTGGAGTCAATGTCTTGGGCATCTGACTTGAAAAAGCTGTTTCATGACTGTGACAGCAATACCCCTCAGAGTGGGTTGTTGTCTTCTCAGCGTATCCTAAGAGCTAATTTAGACAGCGCCTTTGGTTAAGCTGACTTTGTGAAACCTGTTCTTAAACCTTACTCTTCATAAACTTCTTGGGTGGCTAACTGGGTTATGAAATCTGAGGTGAATTTCAGTGAGGAAATTGTTATTTTAAAAAAAAAAAGTTAAGGATGCTCCTGTAAGTAATCATGTAGCAAAATCTCATTAAATTATTCATTTGGATATGTGAAGATGATACCTAAAACATTCTAGGCAGAGTAGTGTTATTTTCTTGATTAATATTTCAAACTCTGAGGGCACCATTGTCTTTATTTGGGAAGTAGTGTGAAATGCTTCATTTATGCTGAAGAAAATACTCAGGTTTTAAGTATGCGTGAAGTATCTTGCTGAACTGAGACAAGCTAGGACTGGTTTGAATCTAATCTAGATTGCAAAACACTTCTAGTACTTTTACACAAAAAACTGATAGTTTTTTATTAATTTGCATTAGATTCAAAGAAGACTTTTTCCAGAAAGGAGAAATTGGAGGTCATTGCACCCTCAATATTCAAGCATTTTTGGCTGAAGGTCAACGCAAAAGCCCTCTGCAGTCTTGGTAAGAATCACTTGTCCTGGCTGCTTCCAAGTTCACTGAGGGTTTTTTGTTTGTTTTTTGTTTTTTCCTACTCCATTTTCACTAGCAGCTCTGTGTGGAATATTTCATAGTGAGGAAATAATTGCTCCTTTCTAAGGTCAATTTAAGAGTTCATAATAGATTCCCCTAGTAATTACATCTATTCAGAGTGCTATTCTGAACTATGCTGAGTGTAATTGTATCGTTCCTGACTAATTTACAGCGGCAAAAGATGTGAAGATGTCTTGTAATCTGAAAGTCTAATATTTAGCCTTTTTCTGGAAGCAGTGTTGACTCTGTGCCTACCCGGCCTATGGACTGAGACAATTCCTTTGTTATGAAATACCTTGAAGTTTGTGTTTGTGCCCTAGCTGACCCAGTCCTTGTGGTGCAGGGGCCAGTGCAATGCCTGGTCTGCATGTTCATACACCACTCCCAGGGGGAGCCTGTGCTTGGAGTATGAAATGGGCAGCAATCTACAGGCTGCGTGGGAAGGGCAGAGGATGCTTTGCGGTAGCTGGTTTACTGTCAGGATTGTATGTTAGCACTTCAAAGCAGCATTGCCAGTTAATTGATGAAGCATGAAGGAATTGGAGCCATCAAGTTTCCTATAAAATGGCTTTTTTTAATGCTTTTCTCATGTTTCCAATTATTCTTCTCATTTTGCATCGATGGTCAGTTTAAGTTAAGAATAGCTGCAGAGGAAGACAAGACTTATTTCTTCCCTACCTGTTATTGTCATCTCAGGTTCTCATCCCTGCTTAGTTCTGGGTATAATAAATATTGCATCTGCATTCATTATTGTGACCAAAGTACGAAGATCTTGCTGAAGTGTCTCTGGCAATGCAGATCAAGTTGGATAGACCCACAGATCCAGGCTCTAAGGCTCTTTGTTACATCTCTGCTACCTTGATTTGTAGATCAAAGATGCTCTTCACTCCTGAGATCAAAGGCAATGTTTAACCTCTTGAAGCTCGTAACCTGAGAACTTTCCATTACAATTACAAGCAATTTTAGTTGTCAGACTTCATCAGACTTCAGCAACCCTGTTAAATCAAATGCACTGGGTGAACAGTTGTTACATCTTAGATATGAGGTATACATTTTAAGTGTGCTGATGACCAAGAATGTTCTATGTGGTTGAATCTTTCTAGGTTTGCAGAACTCCAGACTTTTACTGCATTAAACTTCAGGCCCCTAGAAGATGGTAAATGTGACATTGTTATTGAGAAGCCAACGTACTTCATGAAATTAGATGCAGGTAACGGGTATTTTGAGTGTAGGCTTTTATCCTATGATACTGCGCTAGAAAGAGCCCATCTCCGTCATGCTCTCCTATGTTATGCCTTTGTGACTGTCAAATTTACTTGTAATTTTTTTTTGAAAAAGGGTATGACATATTCATTCCTCTTTTTCTGTAGTTTGATTAATAATCTCGGAAATTTAAAAACCTTACATTTTGTCACAGAAACTTAAATATATCAATTTCCTGCCACATATTTCCTGCCACAGAGTCTTTGACTCTTGACTGTGTTTTGACAGAGTCTTTGACTTTGTGCCAAAGAGTGTTTTGTACAGAGTCTTTGATTTTTGTCTTGCGTTTCTGGATGACGATTTTTGGTTTTCATATCTGCTGCATGAACACGAGGTATGTGTATATACACGTCTTGCAATGTGTGTAAGTAAATGAGGACTCTACGCATATTGAATGATGTGGAGGAGGAAGTGGTGTTCAAAGACAAAATTCAAGGGAATAAGTTTTGTTAGTAGATTTAAAAAAAACTGATAATGCTGTTTTACTCTTAAAGCTTCAAATTTAGGTGAAAAGCCACTGCAGGGAGAAATTAGCTATTTCATTATGGAGAGCTATGGTTATTGCTGGGCTATGGTATACCAAAATTCATGAGAGGGATAGCACCGAAAGATCTTTAGGAAGGCAAATCATCCAGTGGCACTTGACGTTTTGGAAATTCGTCAGCCTTTTTGCTCATGTGGCATATTTTGAAGGTGAATGTTAACGAAAGAGAATTTTCAGGATGTAGACAGTCAAACAAGCTACTTTGGAGTAAAGCTATGTTTTAAACTAGATATTTGCTATATTTTGACCCCATGACGCATTGCAACTGTGAACTGGTTTACCCCTCCTCCCCTGTGGGCCAGTATTGTGTGTTTTTTCAGCAAGGTTGGTGCAGACACCTGAACTTTTGCTGTGTTGTCAGCTTGTACCTTTGTGCCGGGGTGGTCTAGCTGTGTCCCAGGAGACAATTTGGTCCACCTCTCTCTGCTTTATTTTAGAGGAGGGAGGAAAACTGCTGTTTGGGCAGTAGGGGAAGCCCAGCAGCTAGTTCCTATCATAGTAACTCTTTGTGGTCAGGAGCTTAGAAACAGGAGCTGTCTGCATGGTTGCAAAACTGGTGTCTAGTCTTTGGTAGCCAAGAAGCTAGGCTACCTTACCTCCTTTATTTCATGGTAGCTTTTTACGTGCCCTGGTCTTCAGTATTAACTTAAGAAACCAAGAATGAGCCAGAATGCTCTGAGAAAGAACCTGATGAATTACTTGGGCTTTGGCTCAGGTGCCAGTACAAGTTCAGTCTTGAAGTTCCCCAGATGGAGCTTCCCTGAATGCTTACAAAAACAAAACAAAATTAAGAGCACTGCCAAAGGCCTGTTTTTTAACGTTTCCTTTATGTCTAAGTAGTTACTGTTAAAGCAGCAGTTGCTTTCATGTACCCCAGAAAGCAGTTGCTCAGTATAATGAGAAATGGCAAGTAAAACTTTTTTCCATTGCCTTTTTGACCACTGATTTCTGTGAACTTTTCTTAATATGTGCTTTACTTCAGATTTCTTACCTTGATGCCCTGCTTTTTAAAGGTTTGATTCTCTGGAGTGTATAAGAAGCCTTCAGTCAGAAGGGAAGGAAGACTAATGAGAAATACAGGCTTTATTTATACATGTGTGTGTGTGTTTACATGTATGTATAAATATATGCTTTATTTTTGTATATGCGTCTATATATATATAGACAGAGTTTATTCACAGGGACACTACTAAGGAAAAATCTGTAAAGTGATAAAAACTGGAGTGAATGATGTATCTTGCTAATAATTCTTTCTCTTTCTCAGGTGTTAATATGTACCATCACTTCTGTGACTTCGTCAATCTTTATATTACACAACATATCAATAATTCATTCAGTACTGATGTCAACATAGTCATGTGGGATACAGTAAGTCTGTAGTTCTTTTGACATACTTTGTAATGGATTATGTTTTTACTTTATAGAGACTCTGAAGCTTCTAATAGGCAATCCTTAAATTTTCTTGTGGGCCGCTGGCTTTAGCATGTGGAGCTGATAAGTTTTTAGATTTTATTAATAAGGGCGCATGAACAATGCTTAGGGAACTGATTTTCTGCCATAGATCATGTGCTGTTTTAACACTACTACCTAACTCATCTTTCGGTAGGTAATTATGCCTTTTTTGATGTGATACGATATGGTGTTTGTATGTGCAAGTTGAGTATTTCATGCTGTTTTTTTTTTTGTAGAATTTTTCTCTGAGAACTTTGAAATAGAGTTACTTTACATTAAAAGATTTCTTCTACCTTTAAAAAGAAATGCATCAGTGTTATTTTTAAATCAGTAATGTACAGCCTGTAATAAAGAAAAAAAAAAGAAGAATAAAATCCTTGAATATAGCAAATCAGGGTCTAGTACTTAGTTCCTTTAAGTAGCCTTCTTGCAATTACTTCTCTCAGTCACCTCTTAGAATGCTATTTCTATATGCTATAGCAATAGAATGCTATAGAATAGCGAGTGAGGCTATTTCTGCTGTACTGCTGAGTTGAAACAGTGACTGCGTTTAAGAGTAATATTGGTTTTACTGACTAGTGTGTAAGCTGGGTAGGAGAGTGTTATTTTTCCATTGTTTCATTTAAGTTTGTAATATGTCACAAAATGTATAACCAGGTCCAAAAATAACACCTCTTGACCATGCTATTGTCCTTGGTCTGTCTATTAGTTTGCTCTCATGTAATTCCAGGGTTTCTTTGTGTATTCAGTACTCTGACAGCTAATATTTAGCAGAGAACTGCCAATATCCACGTCTTACTATTTAATTAGATACGTCTCTGACTGATCTCCCTTATATTTTGAAAGTTAAAATAAATCCACTTGCCAGATAAGCAGGCTCCCAGATGTTACGTAAGGACCTGTTAATCCAGCTCTGATGGCTTTCTGAAAAGATCACGTGTTTAAATATCATTGTAGATTACTTTGAAAAGTAGCTCCTTTTCTTATATTATGTTGTTGAATCAAATAACTCTTTCAAATGTAGCATTCAGAATGAGTATTGTGCAGCTTTAAATGAGTATGTGCAGCTTTAAATTGTGTTCATTGTGCAGCTTTAAATGAGTCTAACTGCTGCTTCTGCTCAAGTTCGTTACCATGTAAAGCCAGATGAGGGCACCAAGGAACTGCTGATAAGCTGTCTCCGTGCTTATCAAAAGATAGACTTGAACTTCTTATTCATTCTCTTTTTTTTCCTGATGTAATTGGATTTAGGCATACTCTCTAGCTACTGTAAAATTGGTGCACTGTTCTTATTAAACAGCAATGCTCTTAGATGTAGGTTAAACAAAGCAGAAAATGAGTAGGAAATCTACTGGGCGTTGATTTGCAGGCTGTCTCAGCAAATGCAAGAAAGCAATGTTTATAAAGCACTTTTAAGGAGAGGAGACAGGGTTAGAAGCAGTGCTTCCAGCTTTGAAGATCAGTTCTCTACTTCTAATCTGGAAGAATGGTTCTTGTAATGAAGACTGCCAGAGAGTAGTATGGATCGTGAAATTCATTAAAACTTCATGGCAGAAGAAGGGGGGGGGGAAGTACCACTTCAGCACGGAAGGAAATCTCGCAACCTTTAGATTCTTTTAGATTCCATAGATGTCTGTTCTCTTCTGTGGTCATTTATAGTCTTATTTTCAAATTTCTTGTTGAGAATGTTTCCATATAACTTTCCAAGGAGGATGAAACAGCTTCAGAATTGAAAGGAAGCTTTAAGCAGAAGTCTGCACCAGAGTTAGTGAGGTCATATTTAACTGCATTCAAAGAGCAAGAGGTGGTGACTCTTTAGCCCTCAGATGTGCAGGAAATGTTATGGACCTGAAGGCAAGAGCCCCTAATGCTGTAGCTATGAAAGGCCAAAAGGTTTCACAGATCCTTGCTGCTAAAAGGGATTTTTATGGTCTATCCTTTAGAGAAACCTGAAGTAATGCATCATTTCCACCAGACTGGGTCATTGTCTTCAATCTGTGATACGTATGTTATATGCAAGTAAGCATCCCAAAATAGAGGCAAATGTGAAACAGGCTTGTTGTGACTTTCTGTTTTGAAACGTTACTGCTGCACTTGAATTCCCAGGTGGTTGTTAGTCTCAGGAGTCCAGGTTCATGCCATCCTACTTACGTTTCTGTTACTTCAGATTTAGCCTATGTTCTGTTGTCTCTGGGGTAAGTAATAGGTACTCCTTACTCCCAACTTGCAGACTGTAATCTATTGCTGAAGAATTTGTCTAGATTGCTGGTTTATAGAACTGTTTTATTGAAAACTAATTACCTGCCAGGTTATTTGAGTTAATCACCCTTGTAAATGCTAGGTTAGACATTCTGTAATGTCCGCATTCTGTGCGAGGTTGTCTTAGGTCTGGTGGTGGTGATCCGCGTATAAGGTATGTGTTAAAACTCATACAGAACTTGTAAATATTTAGAATAATTTTTATATGGATTTCTGTAATCATTATGCATGTGTGTGTTCATTTTTTTTCTTTCCTGCTAGAGCTCATATGGCTATGGCGACTTGTTCAGTGAGACATGGCAGGCGTTTACTGACTATGAAATAATACACTTGAAAACTTTTGACTCTAAAAGGGTATGGAATTTTATGTTTTGTTTTAATTCATAGAGACCACGTAGTAAACGTGACAACTTCTCAAGCCGCTTCTGGATATGGGTGTTTCGGAGGAAAGCATTAATATTTTAAGTGCGTGTTTAACTTACGTGATATTTGTATGCTCTCTTACAAACCAGAGACACATAGCAGTAGCCACAGTAGCCTATTTCTGTGCATGTCTATGTTTCATATAGATAGACCAAACTTTTGTGTCTTCTGAGAAGTGATATTTATGTATTGGTTTCACTTTGGCAGCATCATCTACTGACGCTAAGGGTTTTCAAATGGTAATGTCATTCTAAATTGTCTAATTTTTGTTGAGGTATATCTCTTCCCCTGCAACTGTTAATATACCTGCAGTTTATGATAAACTTCTATGATAATTTTACTCCTACCAAAAATGTATATATTCATTCAGAGCTCACTTTAGTCTCTTAAATCCCTTAAACCCTATCTTAAACGCTCTTTACTGTTTACCTGTTTTTCTTCTACTTGGGTAATGTTTGTTCTGGTTTTTTTTGGTGTCCCCACTTCCCCCTTTTTTGTATATGTAGCATCTTGAGAGCCCTTTTGGCACTGGGATTGTCTTTGTTCTATTCATTTGCACAGTTGTTAGGAAAGTGAAGATGTTCTTGACAGGAGCACCTAATTGCTGACTCATTGTAAGCAGTGATTGCACTGAATGAGCATGGGATGTGCTGGCAGAAGGCAGCAGTGCAGTGTAACTTCTTGTGATCTTTCTTTGCAGGTATGCTTTAAAGAAGCAGTCTTCTCATTACTGCCTCGAATGCGATATGGCTTGTTTTATAACACACCGTTGGTGAGTCCTTTTTATCAGTCTAGTGTGTTCACTAGGTGTGTGTGTGTATGACAGTATAAAATCTTAGCTAATGAATCTCTCAAGCATTTAGCTGAGTTACGGTGAAATGTACTGTATTGAAGGACTGTACAACTCCAAATGAAATGATCTTCCTTAGGCATTAGGGTTTCAAAGGGCACTTTATTACTGTACTTAAGCTGGTTGGTGGCAACTGCTTGTGTGCAGGCTCCTACTTTACAGTTCATGAGATGGAGATTATTCCTCTTTAATGGGAGGGTACTGTGAATTTACTGATACTATTGTAGGGCACAAAAGCTTGTAAATTTTGGAAGCTGCTTCAATGAGGGCTTTTATCTTGGGACTGTCACTTTGCATATTCCGTGGTGAATGAGTTCTGAATGTGAGTGATTACTGCAATGCATTCATGTGATAACTTTGACCATGCTTCCTTAATTTGCGTCCTTTGTTTGTGGCATTTCTCTGGGACTGGTGTAGCAGGGACTTGTCTGTCTGACTGAGGATGTGGGATGGGAGGCTGGGAAGGGAGGGAGCGCAGGCTTGGGGAATTTGGGCTCTGCAGAAGAAAAGGTGGGAAGCCTGAGGTTGAGCTTCTGGGGATAGAGGGCACCCACTTGAGAGGCAGAATTGCCCATTCTGGCATCACTAAGAAAGACGCTTTGCAGGAGTGTTTGCTGCTGGACACAGCCTTCCTGTAACAGCTTTCATTCCTGCAGTGTTAGCTCATGCATTCAGGCTGTAACGCTGTAGATGGAATCATATTTCCTTCTAAATGAAAGTGCCACTTGTGTTGCAGTGAATAGCGATGTGCTTAATTCAGTGCATGATACTAGGTTTTTGTTCTGCAAGAATGGTGAAAGACTGGTCACAAAGTGAGGTTTGCTGAGCAAAACAACTTTTTGTAATAATAATTGCTTTTCTAATTTCAGATCTCTGGCTGTCACGGTACGGGGCTATTTAGAGCATTTTCTCAGCATGTGTTACACAGATTAAATATCACACAAGAAGGACCCAAGGTATGATAACAGAAAGATAAAACTGTGCTATGGAGCTTTCAGTTCTTACTCAGATGAACAACAGCAACTAGCTGGACCCAGTGGGAAATAAGAGCAAATACTGCACTTCATGTCCTTTACTGTGGTGTTCAACATTTTCCTCCAATAAGTCAGTCAGTTCCATAAAGGCCTTCAGCAAACATTTATGTATGTTTGTAAAAGTTGACCCCATGTCTCATCTCTGTATGACAGACTTTAGAACATCCTCTTCTGAACCCTAGGGAGCTGCTCTTCCCCATCCCCTCCTGTGTTCCCAAGGCCTTTATGTTCCTCCCAGTTAAGCTAAATGCATGGTATGTGGTCTCTTCTGGAGAGTGCTAACGACATGCTGCTAGAGAGGATGACACAAAGCAGTGGGCTTCCTCTCTGCAGACATGCTCTTTATCAATCCTCATAGCTACTGCTGAGCTCAGAGGAGAGAAGGGAATGATTGGATCTGGTCCTTCCAATGCCTCCCTGGTACCATCTGTCTGACCCTCGACTTCTCTGTTGCGCACACTGGTGGTTTTTGCAAACCGTTGTAATGTCTGCGTTGATGGATATAGCAGTTTTGGGCTGCTTGAAGTATTTGCTAGAGAGCAGTCTACGTATTATTGCTGAGGGGCACACATTCAAACACTGCACAGGCATTTAGTTATGCTTCTCCTGCTGACACTAATGGGAGTCATGCAGTTAAATCTCTTTATTTCACTTGGTACATTTACCCCTGTGAGTCCAATTAATTTAAAGAGGTAAAGGGAGGAACTGTTGTAGAGGTAAAATATTTTTTTTTTCCCCAAGGATTTTGTGCACAAACCATCCTGAAAGTGACTTCCCTGCTTTCAAGAACATATAATGTCTAATACGAAGGCCCTTTTGTACTGAGCAAAAATAAATCATTCTGAAAACATTCTATTCCTCGTTAATAGCAAGACTTTCACAAAGTTTTTGATGCTTTTAATCTGTTGGAAAATACAATGTGAATTGTAAGGTGATTACATCATCTGTTACATGGGGAGGGAACATATTTAGTTGCTCAGATAATTGCTAAAATAAACATGGAAATTTTTTCTTTTGGTAAGATCTGCCTCACAGCTAATTCATTGCTGCTTCTTTCCTTTTTTAGGATGGGAAAATTCGAGTCACAATACTTGCACGCAGTACAGATTACCGGAAAATATTAAATCAGAACGAGGTGTGCTCCTTCATATTTTTAAAACACATAAGTTAACCAGAAGTTAAATTTTGCTCATTGAATTAGTTTTCAGGCACAGCCAAGATATCTGCCCATTGACAAATCTTAATGCTAATTCCTTCTAATATGCCTTGTGGCCCGTCTCTGTTTCTGTACACCAGGCACTGAACCTTGCTGCCCTTTGTAAATACCCTGTGGCAGACTACAGACGTAGTATTAAAAGAATTTCCTCTTAACAAACAGATATTGCAGAACCCTCTGATAAAATTAAATTATTTTATGTTCACATTATTCTCTTTGATTTCTAGAAGCCCCAGTGGTGAAGGCTCTAATGAAAAGCTTTTGTTATGCTTGCAGAACAAAATGCTTAGGCAGTTGTATCTGAGTATGTGCGTTCAAAACTTAATGAATTTTCATGCTGGTTCGCATTTTCAAATCATGCAACGTGGTGGGCTTACAATGAAGCTACTCTTGCGATAAAATGATAACATCTAATGTTTCTATACCTCTCTTCATTCTTAGTTGTTAGTGCCTGACAAAAATGGATAGCCCCATCTTATATAGGGGGAAACTGAGGCTTATTTGATGCAGTAGCTCAGTGGCAAAATAGATAAGAGCTCAGATCCCCAGTGCTATGCCTTATCTGCTGGACACTCCATAGTGCCTGCCTACACTGCTATATGTAGTGTATTTTCTGCCAGTAAGCACGTGACAGGAAGCAAGAAGTTAATCTTCTCTTGACAATGCTTTTGTAAAGGAAAATACTTTGATTTCTCTCCTGCTCCTGCTGGCTGGGGATGATAGGAGTCTTACAGAAAGCCGTTTCAGGTTAGAAGCCCAGGCTTTGTTGGTTTCACTTCTCATGTGAGTAGGAATCTGGCCTGGTAAGGTGTTCTTGAAATCCTTCTAGCTGCCAGTTTGCCGCTTCAGATTTTGGAATATTTTTTGGAAATCCAACCAGAGGTGTGTCGTCCTCCCATTATTTCTGGCAAAATTCCTACTAGTTTGAATGGTTTAGGATTGGGTCTTGGAGCATGTAAAAGGTAACAGTACTATCTGTGGTGGTGGAGGAGATCCAAGTCCCCTCTCTGGTGGCTGCTCTGCCAGGAGTAAGGTATGGGAAGGTATGAAAGGATCTCTGTGTTGGAAAACAGGTTTAACCTAGAGGTCATCTTGCATGCTGGGATTTGGGTAGAGAGACTGAGGAATAGCTCCTTTATATGGCAGTGACAGTGTGTGTGTGTGTGTGTGTTTTTTTTTTTCTCCTCAATGTAATTCCCTGGTGAGGAGGGGGAGTGTGTAAAATGGTCAGGAGTGTGGGGAGGAGTTAATTGAAGCAGAACATTAAATCTTAGTCCTTTTTATTTTCGTCTTTAGCTTGTGAATGCTTTGAAAACAGTACCGACATTGGAGGTCAAAGTGGTAGACTACAAGTACAAGTACGTATTTTGGTAGAGAAAGTTGGTGTGGTTTCACACTGCCTGTGGCTGCTGATAAGCCATTTGCAAAGAAAGCTACGTGTGCCCCAGTGTTCAACCCTTGTGAAATCCAATACTGCTAAGGCAAGAAGAATGTTACTGAAAAAGTGGTGGGTGAGCTAGTTAAGCATTCCCATCCAATGATTAATTACTTAAGAGTGAATCTCTAGAGTTAGGCTCATGTTAAAACTACTTTATGATCAACAAGTTCTGAAACTGGTTTCCGTTCTGTGTTTCTTCCCCTCTCCCAGACACAGCTATATTCCCATCATTTTTGTGGGTTTGCTAATACTCTCCAGTGGGTCAACAGGGATTTCTGTTGTGTGATGCCAATATCTTATTTTATGACTATTAGCTTAGTAATGAATAATAATTCATAGCTTATTTGCTCCTCTGGTTGCCCCTGAAGACCCCAGTTGAGGTCAATTTATGGTGTGCAGTTGTGGTAGGCACCGTGCCAGTAAGAAATGGCTTGAAGGAAAAGTGGCCAAGTGGTGTATGCCTATGTCAGACGGCAGCACCTCCCATCTACTCACTGGCTCTGTCATGGATCATGTCGCAGGAAGAATGGGGAACCAGTCAGTCTCTCAGCAGTGCTGAGAGATTGGTGTTGACCAAAGCTGAGACAGGGAGGAAGTCAAGAGTTGTTTCCACTAAAGATAGTGCTTGAGCAGGCTAATGGTAGAAAAGAGGGTGGATACACATGAGAGGGTGTCTAGACCATCCCACTGTTTGAAAACAGGACCCAGTGGTACTTCTGCAGTTATTGATGCTTGTCTAAACCATTTGTAGTACCATTCAGCACTGGAGATTGCCTCAGCTATCACGCTGCATCACTGTCCTCATAGTTGGGTTTCCCTGATGTCTGCCCTTATTGCAGCTTAAGCAGTCTAAACTTGTTTGTTGCAATTTAAGTTGGTTGCTTTTTATTCTCTTCAGAATGGTCAGAGAGGAAGTTATTCTATCTTTGTATTGTTATGAACTGATTTTACGTGATTGAAGACTGCTGCAATTTCCCTTCTCGCTTCTTTCTCTTATGATAAAATACTTTCAGTCCATTCTTTCCTTCCTTGTGTGCTCAGGGAACACGTGGTTGTTTAAAAATACTTTATGTGGAACTTAGTCAAAGGATGAGAGAGAAACGGCGGGCTGGGAGAAGTAAAGTAACAGCTCCAGGAGCTGAAACAAAGTCTGGTCTCCTTATTTCTGCTTGATTCTCTATGTATGAGTTCAGGTTGGCTATCTGCACCTTTAGGAGGGAGCTATATATTTCTGCAGTCAATCACAAATACTTTAGGTGTCTTTGTATTGCTTTTTTTTTAATGTCTAATTTTTAAAAAGTAGCAAGTAGAAAACAAAGAAAACTTACAAAAATTTAAAGTGACTTACAAAAAAATCAAATTTTTGAAGCAGACTCTTGTTAATGTGAAGTTCTGAAATCTGTCTTCATTTCTTTTAATTCCATGCTGAGCTATTGCTGGCTGCAGCATTTTTGATTTTTAGTATTGTTCCTTTGAAAATCAATTCACTCTTTCAGAATTCCCTTAAGTTAATTTTGTGGTTTCTACATGTAACTAATTCGTGCTGAGATGGATAGGCATGCCAGATCACCACTCTGCGTTATGTTGTCTACAGGGAACTTGAATTTTCAGAGCAATTGAGAATTACGCATAACTCTGATATATTCATTGGGATGCATGGAGCTGGACTTACCCATTTGCTTTTTTTACCGGACTGGGCTGTTGTTTTTGAACTGTAAGTCTCTTTTTCTCTCTCTCCCCCTCTTTATTATATGCCTAATTGCTAATTTATGTTCATGTGTGCTAATGAAGTACCCTTCTTTGCTAGTATTTGACTGAATGTTTCTGTTGCATTCTCCTCTAGGCTTCGCTTTTGGGCAATCTCTTCTTTTGGGAATAGAAAGTGAGGAAGCTTTCATTAGAACATACAATGTGTGATTATCATACAGCCTTGGCCTGTGGTTTCTTATGATGTCGTGGTATAAACGAGAGGCAGCCTGGCGAGTAATTACTTGGGGAAAATGACAGAGACTCATATTTTGCAGGGGATAGCCTGACCTCTAATAATGACATTCTGGTGATCTAGATGAATTGATAACAGCCTAGACAAACATTTTTTGTAAAAGATCTCCCCAAAAGGTTATTTATATACCTATATATTTATATAGGTATATTTATAAATATACCTATATGTTTATATACACCTTTCTATAGTCAGGACATGAGCACCAGCTTTCTGGCCAAGCTCAGCTGGGTGTCTTCTGTCTTACCTAAACTTCTCCAGTAAGTTCATTAAACACATTTTGTCATGAGTTATTACGAATAGATACTCCAGTTCTGTAGTACTAAAGAAAAATGCAGCACACTTGTCAGAAGAGCACTGAATTACCCATCCTGGGCAATTCTGCTTAAAACCCCTGCAGTGGGGCACGACTGTGGAGCTGGTGCTTTACAGGGCAGACTCATCTGAGAGCGTTATGTCAAGTCTCCAAATGAGTTCAGAAACCTAGGGATTTTCTACAAGCTGCTGCAGCTGAACAGGGGCATGACTGACCTGCACGTGTCTCAAATTGCCTCTTAGACCATGTAGCCCTTGTTCTTGGTTTCAGCAGAGCAGAATCTGATCCGTGCTTTTGTTGCCTTAGAACTAAGACAACAGATGTCAAATTAATTTTCAAAGTTTTGTTTTTCCTCCCTTCCCCCTCCCCCACTTCTGCCTGGTAGACTTCAGCATAATCTCTGTGGTTAAATGCGGTCCTCTGCCTGTCCCTAGGTACAATTGTGAAGACGAACGTTGTTACCTTGATTTAGCAAGGCTGAGAGGCATTCACTACATCACTTGGCAAAAAAGAAATAAAGTATTCCCTCAAGATCAGGTAATGATAGCCACTGGGGGAAGGATGGGGATGGTTTTCTTACTCTAACTTTATTTTTTTAAAGGTTAGTTTGTTTTTTACCTGTATTCTGATGTTTGAAATATGATGTTTTTCTTTAGTTGAAATTAACTTCCTTGTTAGATTAAGAAATCATTTGATATCAGCGGCTGAGGGAAGAAGAGAAAAGAAATTAATAGGCCGTTAATTCAAGCTATGCATAACATTGCTGTACAGTTTCTTTACTGAGTTTTTTTTTTTTTTTTTTTTACCTCAGAGCACATCAATGGATCAAATAAAATAACTTAATGGTAGAAGCTCAACTCTTTTCTTGTTTTTTTTTGAATAGAAAATGTACTGGGTTTTTTTTTTTGGTCTAAATGCTCTTGTTTCATTTTTCTTAGGGACACCACCCAACGCTGGGAGAACATCCAAAATTTACAAACTACTCCTTTGATGTGGAAGAATTTATGTACTTGGTGCTTCTGGCTGCAAATCATGTTTCACAGCATTCCAAGTGGCCATTTAGGGTAAAACATGATGAGTTCTAAATTAGACTTCAGAATGAAATATTATTTTAAATAATGCTTCATAAAAATATTGTAAGAACATAAAGCAAAATGCTGATGTGAAACATGTAAACCTCTAGGAGGGAAATAATCCATTTTTAACTTGTCAAACCAGTTCATAGCACCATACTGTATCTTTATATTCCTTCTCTCTAACTTTAGGAGTTTTCCATATGTAAAAGCTATCAGGATTTTTTCTGCACTGTATTTTTGCATCCCAAATTCTGAACTACTTCTTTATACAAAAAATAGTCCATACATTTCATGTAATATTTATCTTGGGGTAGGTATTTGACTTGTAGTAATTTATGCCTCTTATGTGAGGTAGGACATGCTAGAGGATGGAGAGTATTACAGATTGATTTCTCAGTATAGTCTCTGTGGGAATTAAATAGGCCTGTCACAGAGTTCTTTGGTTCCTCTTTTTAAGAAGCTAGATGCTTTTATTCTATAGTACTGTACCTGGAAGTACAAATCTGAAAAAGAACTATTTTCCTGTTATAAGGCACTGGCCAATATATCCTTTGCGGTCAGGTTACATGACACAATAGTTTCAGCATGGCCAGTTAATTCCTTTCCATCACCATCCTTGTTACTACTTGTTACTACAGTGCTTGGCCCTGTATTACTCCTATATTTGAAGAGCTTGCTTTGTAAAATAATGGTTTTAAGAATGAAATGGTTAAGCAAACTTTAACTTTTGTTGTTTGATACAGCAGACACTGCAGACTCCTATTTCAAACTCAGAGGCATTTTCAAGGTAGAGAGCAGTATGTCTTATGTTTTCACATTTAAAAAAAAAAAAAACTTTGACTCTTCCCCCTCTTCTCATTTTAAAAATAGTTTTAAATATAACAGGTATGGTCAGTGAGCTTAGTCAGTGTTCTCTCAAAGCACGTAAGACTCTTCCAGAGAGAATATTTACACCCTCTGGATAATCCAGGTATTTTCTACTTTTTCACATAAAAGAGCACTTCTGCAATGGAAAACCTGAGAAAATTGGAATAAAACTTAAGTCTTTTTGAGGATGCTAAAGTATTGGTGTTTTATGACAAATGATAGGACATATAGGGTGTTTTGCAGCTGCATCTAAAGGAAAATGAGGTCCTTAGAATCATTACAAGCCTAATGTCAGTAATATTCTTTTCTCATGAAGTAGAAGAGGTAATCTAGAAAACTTATCTGAAACCAATAGCATAGCTTACTGTTTTCAGTAAAGACAATATTAAGCCATAGCCAAGTTCTCTATAAAATTCCCCCTTGCAGCTGACATCTTGGTGCCAGTGAAACAAATGGGAGTAGTTCTCTTGTCTTAAATGGGGCCAGAAGGATGTGTGGAAAAATCAAGTTCAATGATATAAAAAGCAAGAGTTCCATGTTATACTATAGATTTTTTTGAGAATGTATTCCCATGACACACGTGTGGTATAATCATACGCAGTTTCAGTGGCTTGAAGCAAAGCGTACATTTGTAAGCAAAAGCAAGACAGTGTTACAGTAAATGTAAACACTTCAGTGGTATAACTGTAGATGATATTGACTTCCGTTCTCTAGCAGTCACAGCCAATTTCACCGATTGTAGGAAAATTTACTGACCTGCCTATGCTGGCAAAGACGAGTTACTGTAAGTATAGCTTTCATATAGATCTCTCATGACCTTAAGCAGTGCACAGGAAAAGCCAAATATAGCTGATACCTTAATAGCTCCTGTGTATTTGGTGCAATTTTTAGTTTAGTGCGTTGTGTAAACAATGGATAAAACTGTTTAAAGAATCATGGAAGCAAAATTGCACTTCTTGACATGAAAAAAATGCTTTCTCTGAGAATTAGTTTCCTGTACTTGTTTGTATGTTGTTTTTACCTGTTGTTTTACCCCTGTTTGTGGGATTTTTTTAAAGGAAAAAAATGTATAAAACTTAGTAAAATGTCTGAGTTGGAAAGAAACAACTCCAAATAAAGAAGAAGTTTAACTATGAATTGTGCACAGATATATTTGATAAAGAACTTTCTAATAACAAATATATTTTAGAACTTTTGATCATCGTTTGCCAGGTTTTAGAGGCAAATATTTTAAATACTCTTAATTGCATAGTGTCATGTCTGTGTTTTTTCTGCCGTGACAACCTGATCTTCAGCAGTCCAAACTGACATTCAAATTTATTTATTTGAGAATCATTCATGGATAATGCTGTCATCTTGCACTGAAGGCTCTGTTGCCTGGCATTTTAAGATTGGTAGAGGTTTGAGGAAAAATTTTGTCTATTTAACTTTCTGCACTGCATATGATGATATTGAAGCCAGCGTGAATGCAAGCACATGCTTGAATCTTTGCAGAACCACCATCCCACTCGCTAATGAGGAGTTTCTCTTTCAAGCTGTGTGAGGACTCACTGAAACAAGTGGTTGAACAGATGCCTGAATGCACAGATGAGAGGCGGTGGGGACTTAATCCAGGGGCAAAGTATCCTGCCAACACTCTCCAATTTCAGCAAACTTGAGTGCAATGTCAACATTTGATAACTAATGTATTCTTCAGCCTTTATGGCTTAGTATTACTGCGATGAAAATAGTATTTTGGTTAATTAGCTTTACAAATAGTCGTACAATTATCTTGGCAGTAGAAAGAGGTTTGGTTGGACTAATGGAATTTTGCCCCAAAATCCCCAGAGATAACTTGGGCAACAGCAAAGATTTAGTTCGCATGACCTTCTTCAAGAGGGTCTGGGTCATCTCATTCTGCCTGGAAATCAGAATTTGAGAGAATCCATGAGGCTTTCCAGGCCCCTTGTTCTTTAGGTGGGGTATAGCCTTGGATTATATTTCCCTAATGGACTGTAGGAATTTTGTTCCTTGCTACTCTTGATTTTTGTCTCTCCAGTGTTGTGATGATTCCTTTTCGCTACCTTAAGTTTAGCGTCTGTGTTCAGCTGGCACATTGGCATCAGCGCGATAAATTTAGCTTTGGCACTTAATGAATGTTGCCAGTCCTGAGTAATTCCAGAATTGCTTGAGATTCATGTACAATTTAAACTGGGACCTGTTTTTTTAAATTAAAAAAGATGTACACTGTCTCTTTCCTTTTTACTTCACAAATGTTGAAGATGTGTTTTAAATTTTTGTTCATGAAGTTCTGTGGGAGTTGGATAAGTGTGAGAAATGGTTTGTGAGGGAGGAAGGTGGCAAATCAGGGTTATTCATCTTAAGAGCACAATTATAAATATTAAGGTAATACATTTTTAAAACCAATTAAATAATAATGAAGTTGTTTAATTCTTGCTGTTAATCTTACTGGTTATACCATTAATGAGATAACTAAGGGTTTAGAATGTCTCTTAATCTTTTCTTTATTTTCAAGCGGGAGAGAAACTGAAGGAAACATTCTCCTTGAGAGCTTTTTATCTACTCAAATGGGTAAAATGCGAGGGGATCATTTTATTTGATTTCAACACTGAAGAATTGTTTCAATTTGCAGTGTTTGCATTGAATTTAAGCTCTTTTTTCCCCCACTCATTTGAACATGCCTTTCTCATGGAACAGGCTTCTTTGTCTCAAAAAACAAACAAACAAACAAAAAAAACCCCAAAAAACCAAACCGAACTGGTGCTATTTACTTTTTTTGGGGGGGGTGCGGCAAGGTTATTTCACATGGCAACACAACTGATGAAAGTAGTTTGTGGAGAAGGGAAGGGAGATGCTGACAGACCAGTACAGAGGGAATGAGTAGCATGAGGAGGAAGGAGGAATGAGTAAGTGTAAAGCTGCAGGTGGGTAAGACTGCAGTAGTTGTTCCCAAACCTGAGCTCAAAAGAGCACTTTGAGACCTCAGTAAATACAATTGCAAATCCAGTGAAGTAAGTGGAAATGTAATGGGAATAGAGCCAAAAATCAGGGTAGAGGGAAGCAATACTGTCATCAGTGGCAAGCAAGTGTTGGCAAGGCAAGGAAAGGACCCTCTGAATTCCTCTGAGTCGGAGCCGGGAGAGGAGGAGAGGATGGGAACAAGAGCAGCAGCCGGGTGGAGATTTGGGGCAGAGGGGCTTTGGCTGATCATCTCCAGAGCTCTCTTTCAACCCCAGTGACTCCGATTTTGTGCCTGAAGAAATCAGTGGTGAACTGAAAGTTATGTTCAAGGTAAGAACGGAAAAGGGCAGGTGGAGGCTGCCCATGAGGTATTTTGCCACAGTTTGATAGCATTGATAGCATGTTCTCAAATTAATTTCTTATAGGCAGCTGTCATCTCTTAAAACACTGACATAAAAATGTATTACATATTATATACCTTCAGTTTTCCCATTATCATTATTTTTTGGATGGGGGAATGAAACACCAAAATAAAAATGGGACTGTCTCTCTTCCATTCTCTTATATTCTGTTTTTCTTCTGCCTTCCTGTCTCTCCATGGCAAATCAAAAAGGAAGGGGAAAAAATAGCAAAAACAAAAAAGACGCTACAATTGGAAAAAAAAAAAATTGTTTTGATTAGCTCTTTGTGGAGAGGAGGAACCATAAATATCTGTATTAATAATGTCTATAACACAGCATCGATTTTGGCTTTTATTTTGTAAGATCAAATCTACTTTTGGCCCACAATAGTTGTTAGAAAAGCCTTTGAAAGGGAATATAATATGCAAAACTTGAAATGCTTTTGAGTAGAGGGTGAAAAGTCAATCGTTTAAAGCTCAGGTACACAGTGATCATTTGCAATTTTGGGTTATTAATTGCTGAATATCATTGATTCAGTTTAGAAGTTGAAATCTGCTTTCCTGAGGATCTTTTATGTTCAATAATCTGTGTGTGATGTTTAATTTAAGTCTTGTTGGTCTTCGGGCTATATTAATCTCGTAAGCTTTTCCATTGTGTTCACTCACGCTAAGTACAATGCTGTAACTTTGTAACATTAGCGAAGATGCCTGTTTTGTTTTTTTTTCCTGGTGATCTATGCTGATTACAAATGTTGCACGTTTGATTTCCAGGTAAGGCCAGAAAAGGATTTACTCCTATTTTACCAGAGTGCAGTAGGTGGCACCAGAGCCCTTTCAAATGTGTCTTGGCCATTCAAGGCAAATCTTACTTCAAATGCAAAGAATCAGCTCACGCTCCTATAGGTGATGATTTTGTTCTTTTTCCTCTTCCTGTTTGTAGAAGGAAATGACTGGAAAAATTAATCCAGGAAGACTAGGTTTTAGTGGAAGATTACACAGGTGCAGTAACATCAGAATATTTTCTTGGCTAGTTTTTATTTAAGCAACTTAGTTGGTGTGGGAAAATAACTTTCAGTTCATCTTTGGTAGCAAAACGCTGTTTCTCATTTTCTTGTAAAAGAACGCTTCGTGCCAAGCCATCCCTTTTTTGCAGTTAATATAATTCATGCTCTGCTGCAAAGGCCTGCTTTTCATTAATGCAACGGTCTTCCTCAGTCATGCAATATGTTATGCGTCTTCCACTACCTAATTACTTCTCCCATTTAGTTCACTGGGGGCACTCGCTGCGTGTGCATACGCAGCTGGTGCCATGGAAAATTCAGACCACTGACACTCAGAAAATAGTAAGCAAATACTGAAAAAGGGTATTTTTTCTTTTTTTTTTTTTATTTTTTATAATGAGTACCTCTGTTTTTGGAGACAAATATCAGAGTGGATTGGCTTTGTGGGTTACCCCTATTCCAAACTTATCCAAAGGCAGTGGGGAAGATAAGTCATTCAACTGCATTTTTAATTTTTCTTGGCAGCTTTGAAAACCTTTGAGCGGAGCCGGGGCATCACCTTCCCCGGAGGGATGAGGTGCTCGTGTCGCCCCTTGCTGGGTAAAGCTTGTGGGGTTGCTTTCTCTGCCTGCTGCCTGACCCACAGGTCTCAACAACTGAGGGAAATAAAAATTAGTTTTGAAAGTAAGTACAGGGTAGTGTAATTGTTTGAATTACTGGGCAAGACGGATGGGAAACGGGTGAGTTTTGTGACACGATGGAAGCACGGAAACAAGGCGGATGCTCTCCCTTTGCACAGCGCACGAGCTAGCCGGGGTGCTTGAATTAGGTCCCTCCACCGTTGATACAGAGGTGCTTTCGCTCCTGCACGCCAGGAAGGGTCATGGTAATCCAGAAAAGACCTTCCCAAGCCCCATTTTGTGGGTGGCTCCTGCTCCTTGCCTCCCCCGGTTTAAACGTCGGTGTCTTTTGCAGCGGGGGCGTACGTGGAAGCTGCCGTTTGCCTTTGAGGGGGGCAGGAGCAGGACAGGCCTGGTGGGAAGGTGGGGCCCTGGCGGCTGCCCTCGTGCCTCGGCCGGCCGCCGCGCCCCCGGCCCCCGGGG